ACATCATATTCTTATGCATGCCAGTGCTGTGTGTGAGGTAATTTAAGGTGGGTCTGACAAGTGTCGTCGGCATCTTCATATCCGGTCACATGGGCGGCAAGCCACTCCCATCCGGTTACATGGGCGGTAAGCTACTCCCACAAAGGAGGCCACACCCACAGAGTAGGTTCGAACAATTTTTGAAACCCACTACTGTCATGGGGGATGCTGCAAAGGCTGTAACACTGAAAAACGTCCATAAGTTACATTTTTTTCAGTGCTGTTGTGAAATTGAATGGCCACTAAACAAACCATTGTAAATCAAGAACTACCTGTGTGAGCTCTCAGTGTACATACAAACAACAATATAATATAATCATAAGATACCAATGGGAGAAGGTAGTAGAAAAAGATAAGAAGGATGTCTGGACTTTAACTCCCTAAATTCTGCAAGTTGAAGCCCAGATATCCTAAAGTTGCTAAGGTTTTGAAGCACTGCCTTATGGAAAAATCAGATGAGGTTGATCCGTAAGCTGGTTTAATTTGGAGAAACTCCCTAACCCCGTGATGGTGAACCTATGCCACGGGCATAGGTTCACCCGAACTTCCGGTTTGCGCGTTGGGCTGTTTTTCGCCCTCCAGAGGCTTCAGGGAAGCCTCCTAAAGCCTCCGGAGGGAGAAAAACAGCCCAATGGGCAACCTGGAAGTCCATTCCCGAACATCCGGTTTGCGTGTTGGGCCATTTTTTGCCCTCGAAAAATTGACCTACTGGGCCCACCGGAAGTAGGAAAACGGGCTTCTTCCGGCCTAAGGAGGGCCTGTAGAGGGGCGGGGGGGGGTTTACTTGTGAATGCGCAGGGGTCACGGTGCAGAGGGGGGGTATTAAACTATGGGGGTGGGCACACGAGCATGCACGTGTGTGTGCTTTTGGCACCCAAGGAGAAAAAGGTTCGCTCCCACTGCCCTAACCATTAGCACTGGATCTCAGTTCAAATCCTCTGTAATGTTTTTGATTCCCTCATAGAAACCAGCATTTAAAGAATGTTTTCAAGCAAAGAGAAAGCTTTTTAATTTATGTTTTATGTTACTTATACCTACATAAATGCAAATACCATAGAAATAAGAATGCAACTCGGAAAACAAGACCAAAATAGCTATTACACTTTTCTGCTTCCATTTAAATTTTTTTTTTTTTAAGAGAGTTCCTCCAACCATAATTCTCCAAACAGTGCTGAGAAAATACTGGAAAATATAAATGGAACATCATTTTCAATAAATTTCCTTTTATTTTCTTGCCTGGTAACATTTGTTTGCATCCATATGTGAAACAAGAGATAATGGGCTCTTGGAAGTGATTCTTCTTTCCCATTTAGAATCTGTTCGGTTAATTTACTCATAATTACAAATCCCAGGAACAGATGTAATCAATGAATTCGTCTGGGAACCTCAGATGATCTCCAGAAGTAGATAATGCACTGCTTAACAAGTAGTTTTAATCAGTCCTTTCTAAATTGTAAGAACGGTGTCCTGCCAAGCCTATTACGGAACAAATGTTTAGGATTTACAGGGGACTTTTATAACCAACTTCTTGAATTACAGTTTACAAGAACTTCCAAAAACGAATTGTATACGAATTCAGGACTACTGCTGCATGTGAACAAAGGATTCTGCAAAATCCTCATTGGTGCCCCTGAAGGACTTCTTTAGAATTACCCAGTACAAAGTTATAGCAAAACTTTTTTTTGGGGTGGGGGGGTGGGGGATCTTAGGATTGCAACTACTTCACCCTCTGGACAATGTTGTGTTAATTTCTGGAAGTCAGCAGAGATGTCTCATATGAAAGCAGATGGATATGAATTAAATGAGGTCTTACTTTCCTTGAAGAACACACCAGCCACAATAGGGGTCTTTCACTGCCAAACAGGACTTGCAATCGGAGAACTGGGAACATTCAAAGACGGGGATTTTAGCCAACTGGAAGAGAGAAGCAGACAATGGATTTTGACATGCTGTTACATTATAATTCTATCCCAGCATTCTCCTAGGAACTCAAGACAATGCACAGAGCAGGTCTCTCCTCATTCGATCCCACAACAGTTTTTGGAAGCTGACCTCCATGGCTGACCAGAAACTTGAGCCTGGAATTCCCTGTTCAGTTCAAAAGCCCAAGCACTTTCCAAATTAAGAGTCTGTATTGCTCTATTTGGGGCGCGGTGGCTCAGTGGCTAAGACGCTGAGCTTGTAGATCAGAAAGGTCGGCAGTTCAGCAGTTCGAATCCCTAGCGCCGCATAATGGAGTGAGCTGGACAAGTGAGCTTGTCCAGCTTCTGCCAACCTAGCAGTTCGAAAGCACATAAAAATGCAAGTAGAAAAATAGGGACCACTTCGGTGGGAAGGTAACACTGCTCCATGCACCTTCAGCATTGAGTCATGCTTGCCACATGACCATGGAGACATCTTTGGACAGCGCTGGCTCTTCAGCTTTGAAATGGGTATGAACACCGCCCCCTAGAGCCTGAAACTACTAGCATGCATGTGCAGGGGAACCTTTACTTTTATTGCTCTATTATCCTGGGGACATGGGCAATGGTTCCTTAATTTCCCTTAATTTCAACACTTGTCATTTGAAGAAGTGGAGGGGAAGAGAATTTAATCAATTCATTTTGATATGTATTACTGTACAATTTACGACTGCTTGTTTAACAATTTACGACTGTACAATTTACGACTGCTTGTTTAACAATGGTTCAAAGTTAGAACAGCCTCAGGAAAAATGGTCATTCTCAAAGTCATGACTGTTGCCCACCCCTACAATCACTCGTTCACAATTTAGGCACTTAGCAACTGGCTCGCATTTACAATGGTTGCAAGTTCCTTGCGGTCCTCTGATTCCCGTTTCCAGGTGGCTTCTGACAAGTAAAGTTGCCAGTATATTGAGAGTTCATGACTGGAAGAGACATGGCAACCGGGTCAGCCATGAGGGGGTGTTTGAAAACTGAAACAGTATTTGCTGGAGACAACTAGGAGCCTGGGTGTGGCTTAGCTCAACTGTTCTGTACTAAAACTAGTCTGAGCTCTGAACTGAAACTGAAACTGTTCTCTCCTCTGCCTGTGTTTTGCTTGTATTTATTACTATGTTAAAAAACCTGCTTTTGGTATTGCATATTTACTTCATGAGTTATACTATATATAAAGAGAAGTTAATGAATCCTGCTGAATCAGTTACCTGTGTGTGCTTTCTGGATCCAATTGCTGCACAAACTCTGACAAAAGTCAGCTGGGGAAACTATATTTGCCTAACAACTGTGTGATTCACTTTACTGACCACATGATTTGCTTAACAGTCTCAGTAAAAATGATCATAAAATTGCGTCTAGTCACATGATTGGTTTCGGTTTGATTTGGTTTCGTTTTATTTATATGCCGCCCTATTCCCAACTCAGGGCGGCTCACAAACCCAAGAGGGGAAGGGAAACATAAGAACTACAGATACAAACCTTTAAAATAACCAACAGACACACAATTGAGAGGGGAAGGGAACTCATCAACCCCAGGCCTGCCGACACAGCCAGGTTTTAACGGCTTTTCGGAAGGCCTGGAGAGAGGTGAGGGTCCGAATCTCTGCGGGGAGTTCGTTCCAAAGGGCCGGCACTGCTACAGAGAAGGCCCTCCCCAGTAGTAGCCAGATGCCATTGGCTAGTAGATGGAACCCGGAGGAGGCCAACCCTGTGCGATCTAATGGGTCTTTGGGAGGTAATTGGCAGCAGGCGGTCTCTCAAGTACCCAGGTCCAATACCATGAAGGGCTTTATAAGTGACGACTAGCACCTTGAAGCGTATCTGGAGACCAATTGGTAACCAGTGCAGCTCGCGGAGGATAGGTGTAACGTGGGTGTACCGAGGTGCACCCACAATCGCTCGCGCGGCTGCATTCTGGACGAGCTGAAGTCTCCGAATGCTCTTCAAGGGCTGCCCCATGTAGAGCGCATTGCAATGATGACTCACTTAATGAATGCATCACTTAGCAACCAAAATTCTGATCCTAATAGTGGTTGTACTACCTGTACTTCCTTCCGTGTTAGAAGCAGAAGCAGATTTTTTTCATTATTAAAAGTTCTAAGAATCATATCTCTGTATAAATGTATTTGGTTCAAAAACCACATATTAAAATTTTGGTTTTGGACTAGTTCCTGTTTTAATAATGAAAGGTCTATTATTACTGCATCGAAATGCTCTGTTTTTCATAGGTGATTCTGACTGAACACAACAGCCTTAGTTTAAATATGCAGAATATATCCAGGCCTGCCCAGTTCTGTCATTGCTTGCTGCAGGTGGGGAAATTATCAAAGATCCAAAAAGTTACAGCAATACCAGGAAGGAGGGTGCTTGCAAAATTGGTGGGCGAGAAGAGTGGGGGCTCCGATGAAATTTTCTGGCATTGGATTTATATCAAGGTTGAAATTCCTAATTGGCTTGGACACAGAGCTAGTGGTTCCTAATGAGAAACTTGATGGAGAGCTGATAAAAAACAGAAAGCGATCAATGGCACCAGACTGGGAGAGATTCTTAGATAGAGGACAATTTCATCTGCTAGGTTTATTCCAACCAGTTATCTGATCTTTTTGGCCAAGGTACAGTATTGTCTGAAGCATTTTATAATTAAAAAGCTAACATTAATTCTTCCTCCCTAGCCCTCATGAATGCTATGAAATGGGGCCCTTTGAACTAATTCCTAAAAATGTGCTTTGCAACATTCATGAGTTCAAAACACAGCACCTTTCTATAACTCTTTAATGTTATTCTGGGCCTGTCCCATGATCACCCAGCAACTGGAGAGGCTGATGCCTAGTTTGAGGGGAATAGAATAGAATATAGACTAGTCTAAACTAGACTAAACTAGCATAGACTAGAATAGAATTCTTTATTGGTCAAGTGTGTTTGGGCACACAGGAATTTGTCTTTGGTGCATATGCTCTCAGTGTTCATAAAGAAAAATAAAACAGAATACATTCATCAAGAAAGACACAACAGCTTTAAAAAAATGCAGACAAGACCCACGTAACAACCCCCCCCCCCGTTTCCCAAAGCACTGTTGTGGTGCTGAGTGCAAAGCCTTGCATGGCCCTATTGTGCGTTGCAGACAAAAGTGAGAGTTTTACCTCACCCACGCCAGAGAAAAATCACACCGTAACAAATCTTGACCACTGCAAAAATCAAAAGCCAGACACAACTGGCCAGCCCTGTCAAAAGAAAGGCCAAGAAGGCCTTACATAGTGTGGGAAGGAGAAAAAGGCACAAGTGGGTTTGATGATGGTTTCTATATAGAGAGGTTGTTCTTGAAACCTAGCAGTTGCCAAAAAAAAATGGCTATGGCTTTTTAATTTCGTCAGTAACAATTATTTATTAGAGGTTCTGGATTCTTGTGGGTCTGCAAAGTCTGACAATGTTGTATTTACTCTGACGGGGCTGATTTGCAAATAAATGCAGTCCATAGGTGCTAAATAGTTTAATGCCTACATGTTTGTATGCCCATCCTTAAGTATAGTTACATAATCAATCTTAAGTCCCGGAGTCATTGGGAAAAAGCAGATAACAAGATGAGAGATAAATTAAAGGAAAGTATGTTTGTGAGACTGATCCTTTCTCTAAATCCATATCCATTTTACGATTATAACTTTATTTCACTTTGAGCTTAATGCTCTTATTTCCTGAGTAAATGCCACTTTAAACATGGCAAAGGTATATGATCTGAAGTCTCCATAGCAACCATCCAAACATCAGTGGGCTAATAACATCTGAAAGGCCATGATTATATTTAAATGTTTTTCAAATTGCATGCAAGAACATCCCTTGTTTTAAAAAAGAGTACCAAATACTTATTACCAAATAAATAATTCTTGTTCATTTCCACAAGGATGTTTCTGTAAGACTGCTGATCAAATTCTAATTAAATATAGACGCCTCTATTTTATTCCATTCTATGGGCACACACATTTGCATGCCTTAGATATGCCACATATCAGAGCAATCAATTCCTTAAGTTGATTTACTCCAGCTGTTCCACAAAACTTAAGCTAAGGTTTGTAAACCTTATTTCTACATTGCTTTATTTCTCTTGAGATCTTGTACTACATTGGCGGCTTTATTTTCAATTTTATTTCAAAATGAAATGCAACTCCATAGGTCAAACTAAATTAATACACAGCCTTTGCTTCTGGCACAGGAGCTTCCAATATTCAACAATCATCTGGAAATTACGGCTTTGTTATATTTATTCATGGATGCGTATTTTCCATCCTTTTCTACAGGGGTGGGTAACTACAGCCCCTCTACGACCTGTGAACTTCAACTCCCAGTATTCCTGAGCCTGGCTGGCTCAGGAATTCTGGGAGTTGAAGTTCACAGGCAAGAAAGGGGCTATACTTGCCATCCCTGCTTTACTACACCAATGGCTCCAATTTATAAGAATGTCAGAACAATTTTTCCTTTGGGGAACATAAGATGAAAAATACATCGAATCACCAAATGTGGCCGAAAGTCCACATGCTGCAAGACCATAAAGATTTCATCAATTCCAAATCATTTGGTACACCTCTAATATTTAGAATACTGTTTTATTTATTAGATTTTTTAACTCTTATTTATTACATTTTTATTCTGCCTTTATTACTTTAGAAATAACTCAAGGTAGCAAGCATACCTAATAAAGTACACCTTCCTATGATTATTTTCTCCACAAGAGGCCAGTGAGGTGGGTTTAACTGAGGGAGGGAGGGAGGGAGGGAGGGAGGGAGAGAGAGAGAGTGAGTCACAGTCTCATGGCTTCCATTTTCTTCAGGAGCCAATTTTGTAGCATTTAAAAAGGAATTATGCTTGCTTGGAACTAATACCCTATTACAGTCCTATCATATATATTCTTGGGTATGGGTAAAAGATAGGATTGTATCCTTAAATGTTTAGACGCAGAAAACATTTTTTTGTCTGCAATGTTTTTGTTAAGGTCTGAGGTGGGATACATTAGTTATAGAATGTAGAATATAGAGTAATAGAGTTGGAGGGGACCTTGGAGGTCTTCTAGTCCAACCCTCTGCTCAAGCGGGAAACCCTATACCACTTCAGAGAAATGGTTATCCAGCATCTTCTTAAAAACTTCCAGTGTTGGAGCATTCACAACATCTGGAGGCAAGTTGTTCCAATGATTAATTGTTCTAACTGTCAGGAAATTTCTCCTTAGTTCTAGTTGCTTCTCTCCTTGATTAGTTTCCACCCATTGCTTCTTGTCCTGCCCTCAGGTGCTTTGGAGAATAGTTTGACTCCCTCTTCTTTGTGGCAACCCCTGAGATATTGGAACATTGCTATCATGTCTCCCCTAGTCCTTCTTTCTATTAAACTAGACATACCCAGTTCCTGCAACCGTTCCTCATATGTTTTAGCCTCCAGTCCCCTAAGCATCTTTGTTGCTCTTCTCTGCACTCTTGCACTCAACATCTTTTTTTACATCATGGCTGAGGATTCAGTTTGGACACTACTGGGTTCTTTTACTCTATTGATTTAGCATGCCCCGTACAGAACACAACGGAACAGAACAAGCTCTCTCATCATCATATGATGCTTTTCCTCATCTCCATCAACAGGGCCTCATCTATTCTCACCATTGACTGAGTCATGACGTAGAGGTGCTCCTTCGGCTGGTCGAACAGAAGGTCTCTACATACTGCACTGTTCGGCTGGATCATCAAAGAAGCATAGAGAATGGTCTCTCCTGTTGTTTCCATGTAGCCCTGCAATGAAATAAATCAAAATGGCTAATGTTTTATCTATACACATATATATAAATGGCTGTGTTTGTGTGTATATTCCAGCATAAGTCTGGAACGCCTCCAGCAATTTCAACAACACTTGATACATAGATGACTTACTCCCTGGAGAAAAATACTGTGGGGGTAAGACACTCCTAAAGCCCTTCGGGGTGTGTGTTCTGTTAAGATACAGCCTATTGTGCCGTAAAATGGCTTCTACTGTACATTGTAGTGGAGTTGCCATAGTAACAGCTTCACAGTACTCCACAAAGGGGCTCCCTCTGGTAAGGGGGAAAATCCAACATTAGAAATTACATTTGGTCCGGACATTTCCCCCTATAAATAAATACCCAGGCAATGCCAGGTTATCAGTTAGTTTAATTTAAAGCGGTAGAGGAACTAAGCAGCTCTTGGAGGAAGTATTTTGGTGAAAAGAAAGATTATTTTTATGCCTCTTTTATCAGAAACCTTCCTGAATACTCAATGTTGCAGTCAAAGTAAACTAGAGATTGGCATTTTGGGGTAGGGAGCACTACAGCACACAATCATGCAATAGTGTGGGTACCTCCAAAAAATAGACAGGGCCAACCCAAAAGTGCTCTTTCAAGAGGCAATTGGACTTCCTTGTTTTTCTTTGAAGATGTTTCGCTTCTCGTCCTGAAGAAGCTTCTTGGATGAGAAGCAAAACATCTTCAAAGAAAAAAAAACAGAAAGTCCCATTGACTCTTGAAAAAGCACCTTTAGGATAACCATGACCTGAACGACTGAGAATCTCCATAGACACTTAGGACCAAAATCTCACAAGCTCACCCAAATCTCAGAAAACTGTTATAGGTCCTAATCTAAGTTTTTTCATATTCTCAACTGAAAATCTTATTGGTGCCATGAAATCTCACCAATTTCAATCTTCCTGACGTTTTTAATTAACCATTATTTAATTTTGGCAACTTTATTGATGATGGCCCCAGAGGCCCAGTGTTCATTGTCAAGTTCTGGTGCAAATATCCTTTCTTTAAGACATTTCTGTCAAGCCTAGTTACATTTCAGATTGATAAAAAAGATTGAGAAGAACCACGCATTGACGTCTGTTCACTGGGAATATTAGATCAGGGTAATGATATTAGAAGGAGAAACTTGGCCTCTGGAAGGTGGCTGAGAAAGGCCCCTCCCTCCCAATTCAGGTTTGTAAAAAGGCAGCTTGATGTAGAGCTGAAAGGGGAGTATGCAAACAATTGGGACTTTTGAAAAAACAAAAGCAAATGGTTGCCAGATTAAAGCAGGGGGAAGAAGATGGGGAGGAGCATCTGGGCTGGTGTTCACTGCATTAAACAGATGTGGCTAGACATGTCCCTGCATTGGAACTGTTAGGATAATACTCCCCACCTCTCCTCCAGAACCTCAAGGGAATGAAAACCTCAAGTTTTTATGACAACGTCCCTTCCAACTCTGTTATTCTTGTGGTAATTCAACACTCACAAAAGGCATGAAGTAAAGCAGGGGTGTCAAACTCAAAGCCTAGGGGCTAGATCCGGACCCCACGGAGTGCTTAGATTTGGCCCGTGAGGCCACTCTGGAAACAGAGAGACTGGCCCACGATGCCTCTGCCAGCAAAAACAGAGTGTGGGAGGGCTGCACACGGGTCCTCTCGAGCTCCGTTTTCACTGGCAGAGGGTTGCAGGATACCATCGCAGCCGAAAACGGAACTCAGGAGCTCCCTTGACACAAGTGATATTGAGCTAGCCACGCCCACCCTGGCCACACCCATTCCCCGCCCCTCTGAAGTCAAGCACAACCCTAATGTGGCCCTCGATGAAATCGAGTTTGACGCCTCTGAACTAAAGGAAAATAACTCTAGCGAAGTGTGACTCAAACTTGGCAACTTTAAGAGGTTTGGAATGAATTCCTGCGTACCCAGCCATCATGGAGAATTCAGTAATAGAAGTCGACACCTCTTTAAAGTTGCCAGGCTTGAGAAATATTGCCCCGGTGGGTAAGAAAGCATACAGAAAGGTGCCATACCTGTTCCCCTATTGCAAGATCGTGCCAAGGAAACCACCATTTCTTGAACAGCAGTGTGTACAACCATTGTGTGTCCAACCATTCTGAGCATGACATTTCCCTAAAGTCCCATTTGCAGCGCAAAACTGTTATTTACCATCCATTCCAAGCACAAAACTGCTGCTCAGAACCTTTTCTGCCCTTGAAAACAGAACTTTCATGCTTCCTGTGGGATTTGCGATGTGAGTTCAAATAGATCAAATGAAATGCTTTGCCGTTTCCTACCCTGCGACCTAGAGAGGATCCAGATGTGAAATAATGTAGATATGGCCTTGGGAAGAGGAACGGGAACAATGAATTATTAAGAGTTGGGAAGAGGGAAACACAGGGGGTGGAGGTGGGGAATCTCAAAATAATGCCCCCTTCTTGATTTTGTTAAGTATAAGATGTAAAGAGAAACTATGCAAATATACAAGATAATGATATAGGATAATACAGATGATACAGGATAATGCTATAGATCCAATCTGCATCAGTCACTGGGACCAGAGGTTTAGTCTTCCAAGCTTTCAGACTCAGATTAACAGATTAACTGAGTTGGAAGGAACCTTGTAGGTCATCTAGTCATCTACACCATTTCTCACAAGTGGCAATCCAATCTCTTCTTGAAAGCTTCCAGTGATGAAGTTCCTACAACTTCTGAAGGCAAGCTTTCCATTGGTTGATTGTTTTCACTGTCAGAAAATTTCTCCTTATTTCTAGATTGAATCTCTCTTTAATTAATTTCTATCCATTATTCCTTGTCTGGCCTTCTGGTGCCTTGGAAAATAGCTTGACCCCCTTCTCTCTGTGGCAGCCCCTCAAATATTGGAACATTGTTATCATGTCTCCCCTGGTCCTTCTCTTCTAGACTAGCCATGCCCAGTTCTTGCAACCATTCTTCATATGTTTTAGTCTCCAGTCCCCTAATCATCTTGGTTGCTCTTCTCTGCACTTTTTCTAGAGTCTCCACATCTTTTTTATAGTGTGGTGACCAAAACTGGATGCAGTATTCCAGGTGTGTGCTGGAGCCCATCATCAGGGAACTTCTCTTTCTCCAGAATGTGAGAGAGAAATTCCCTGAGGATGGACTCCAGCACATTCCGAAAACTTGGAAAACTAAATTCTGGTGTCAGAAGGCCGACCCAGATTGGATCCTAGAAATTATGCAGGCTTTCAGGGTTGTGATTATACTTCACTGAGAGTATTTTTAGAATCTGTGCCAGTTCTGGTTCTTGACTTTGCTTATCTTTCCTTGCTGCTATTGGATTAGAAATGTAGACAATGAAGCATTGCAATATCTGCTTTGGGATACTTCTCTCCAGTCTGGTCCCCTCTGTCGTATTTTTAGACAATCTTCACAGTTTGGTGCCATCAAAGGAAACCTTCCACAATGTTGTTACCCACAACATAAAACCATCTGCATTTTCCTATTCTGAAGTACTGCAAATGGATGCCAAGAAGTCCTTAGATATTGGAGTGTCCTCCTCAGAAAGATAGTTTCTTTGCAGGTCGAAGCAAAATCCATTTTATTTTTCCCGGTCTTCTAATATTGTGTCGATGCTGTTGTGATTTTCGTCTTTTCTTTGGCTCTTTTTTTCTTTATTATTTTAACATTTGTTATATATGTTATTCTGCATTTTAAGCTCAATTAGAGTAGATGCTGTAATAAACTGTTTCTACCAACTATTCCATACTCTACCAACTATTGCATACTCCAACTTTAAATATGGGGACTTCAACTCCCAGAACCACTAGGTGGCGATAATGCTCCAAAATGAAGCAAGATTGGTTCTCGGTATGGGCTGACTAGTGTGGACTGACAACAAGAAGCACTGCTGTGGGACCAGGTGTGTCCATGGCAGAGGTGGCTTCCTACCAGTTCGCACCTATTCGGTAGAACCGGTTTGTCAAATCTACTGGTTTGTTGTTCTAACAAACATGTGGGCTGCTGGGGGCTTGTAGGGGTTCGGGAGAACCTCTAGCTAAGATTCTGTGCAGTTCGGAGAACTCCCAAATCCAACTCCTGACTGGCCTCGCCCACCTCTCCCCTCCCAGGAGTCCCCAAGCGGCCCAATTGGATGCAGGTAAGTGCAGGTAAGTGCAGAGGGCACACAGAGGCTCGGGGAGCAGCTGCCAAAAAAGCCAACACAGTTCTAGACTGCATAAACAGAGGGATAGAATCAAGATCACGTGAAG